TATTATTAATTTTTTTTTTTCCTGCCACCTCCATTTTCCTTCATCGTACTCCCCCCTGGAAATAACGAAGGTCTTGGTGGCCCTGGAAAGGGTGGTTGGATACTCTGCCCTTCGGGTTGTCATTGCTCCTTCTGGACTTTTCAGAAAGATGGCAGTTGGTGAAAGATCTTTCTCAGTAGCACTCCCAGGCTTATCCGGAGAGGAAATAGAATTGAAAACTGCTACCATGCAGGGGAGTTGCATTCTCAGGAGCCTGATCTCAGTAAACATGGCCCTGGACCACACTTAAAAAGCATGACCAAGCTTACTTAGGTAGCAATCAAAGAGAAGTTGTCTCTGTGGCACTGCGAAGGCCTGGTATTTGATACTCTTGATACTACTATCTCAAGAAAGTTTGGTTTAGAAAAGGTTTATGCAGGTTTGATTTTTCTCTGAGGACGGTAGTAATAAATATAATGTGCTCTGGGTATCATTAGGGTAAGCATAACATAGGCTGGTATAGCAGTATATAAATGGTTTGAGACTTTGACTTTTTTTTTTTTTTAAAGAATTAAGAAATCATAAGACTCCTATCCCAAGCTTTTCTAAAGAGAAAATTAAGAACTAAATTCGGGAGAGATTGTCCCTTTCTCTCCTTTAAATTACAAATAGTTTAGGCCTTCATTCTCAAGGATAATGATAAGCATATGTGGGTTTTGTTATTAATCGAAATCCAGTCTGCCATGTTAAGAATGAGTGTTTTTTTTTTTTGTTTCCCTCCCACTGAGAGATCAGGAATATTTTGTTTATATGTTGAATTGTAACTTAATATTTAGCTCTCTCTGTGGAGAGAGATAGCTGTGTTCTTGCTTTATCTTGACACCCGCTGTTTCATGTTCAGAAATTAAATTTAAAGATCGTTTTAGTTTCTTTACAGAGAGGAGAGTTCTGGTGTTTTTCCACTATGAGCTTTCCAGCTTAGTTTAACACAAGGACATTGGAGTAAACACTTTGGTGAGCCTGAGATTGTTCAGATCCCAGCTTTTTTTTAGGAGTTTAGTGACTGAATTTGAGTATGCAGATTTATATACAGTTACTTAAAGGAACACAGTTGAAAACATTGTCATGATACTTAATGTGCCTTAAAATTTGTGTAATCTGGTTTTGTGTAAAGAATTTGATTGTTGACAAATACTTCTCTTTTAAAACGGAGGTGTTGCATAAGTAAGTGCTTAAATGCTTATTTGTAAAGATTTTGTATGTTTTACATGAAAAATCTTATTCTTGGGCTATTACACTGGAAGTTTTGATGCGTCAGGGTTCACTTTGGTATGCCCATCTATTTAAGGTCTGGAAATATTTGTAATGACTAGCAACCATCTTTTCATAAATACTTCTCTTAAATTTTGGGTGACCCAGCCTGGTAGTCAAGCTCCGTTTAGAAGTTTAACCTTCTCAGTGCTGGTTCATTTATAAGACAACTGAATACAAGCTTTCTATTTTCCTTCTGTCATGAGCAAGTTGTAGATGACTCTTTAGCATGGAAAGTTATGCTGTTGTGCTTTGGAATTGAATAAATTGATTTAGTTTATTTAGTTGATAAACGACGGCACAATAGTACCAGAGCAGATTGTTTTGGATCAGTCTAAATTTCCACTTAATTGAAATGAGAACTCTTGATAAACCAGTGAAATATCCCTAGATTTAAATCAGTTTAACTGGAATTGGAATATGATTATTACTTGTAATGAGATTGTGAAGTGTCAGTTACTTCCAGGTGAGTAGGTAAATTCTGTGAGAGGCTGCATTTCAGGAATGATGTAGGGCTCACTTCTTTCAGGTCAACATACAGTCTTACTGTGTATAAGAATGAAGAACTGAAACTATATGACTTTTATGCAAAATACATTGTATTCTTCTGGATAGCCAAAGAGCAAATATTTATAATACCCAGCTGTTTTACTGTCTGATCTTGCAGTCAATTCTTTGTAAACTTATTCACAGTTTGACTCTCCAGCTGACTTCAGTGAGACTATTCATTTTGTTAGAGTTACTTAGATTCATAAATATCTGACTTTTTTTTAACCTCAGATTAGCACAATCAGTAGCAGATATCGTCAGTAAAGATGAATGTTTCTGTAACTGATGATCTGTACTGACTCTCTTACTTTGTCTCAAAAGAGTAATTAAACCTTAAATTGATTTTTGAAGTTGTTTTACAGTCTTGTCATATGACAGAAGTTATTGATTTTGCAGACTGTTTTGGGGATCTGAGAGGCATACTGATGAGAAAATAAGACATATTTATAAAAGAGGGACAAGATTGCTTAAACAGTAGCAACAAAGCAAACAATTTGAAACTTACTTAGTAGGTTTTAAGTTAAATTATGTCTACCATACTCTTCCAAAAAAGTAATCTCTTCTTCCAGTTCACGTATTAGATCTGGGTTCTGCTTTTTTGATGTCTTAGTCACTATCATTTGTAGCTTCCATTGGGAAGTCATATGAAGGGCAAATGTAGTTAATGTCTGAGCAGATATTCTTGTGGTAATTAGGTTAATTCACAAATTTACTTCAAATCTACTTTAGTTGTTACCAACTCCCTTCCCCCACGCTTATCAGTCTGGTAAGAAGATTGCTTTGTTTCATTAACAGCTTTTATTTAGGAGCAAACTGCCCAGTTTAGGTGTGAAAACTGTGAATGTGCTTTATAAATAAAAGTATTGTTTTCAACAGAGCAGTTCTCACAAATTCAAATTTTGCAGAAAAATGTAGCTTTACTAACTGGACTTTGAATTAGGACAAAGTTTGACCTGACAGCATTTGAAACAGTAGCTTCTGCTGTGTTTATGTCATGCTGATGAAAGAATTATAACTTTTTGTGGAATTTTAAAGATATATTATGCAAGCATTTTATGTTTACAATAGTTAATCACTTTATGCTACTCGGTTTTCAGTTACTCTTAAATATCATTATCAGAAGCTTGTGTTTTGTCTAATGCGTCAATGAGTCATTATAGTTCTTAAGTGTATTAAGTTTTATTCACCTGGTCAATTTTTGTATGTGAGAGAGAAAGAACAGTAATTTCTGAGTGCTAGTACCAGTTACGAAATTTTTAGCAGAGTAAACGTTAGGTTGTTACTATCTTGAACGTTCAACAAAAGCATTTGAGAGAGGATATATTTTTTCCAAGGTACATTTTTTTTTCCTGGTAGACTCTGGTTTTAAAATAAAAGCTTGCCTTTTTTTAAATTGCTTTGATTCCAGAAATACAGATCTTGGCCTGACTTGTTTATTTTTATACCCTGTTCTTGTCATATTTTCATTTTTTTTATTTGGGATATACTGCTTTATAAGAGAGAGGGAAAGAAGTAGAGGGGGAGAAAGTGAAATGGTTAATTTTATGTAAAACTAACAATGAGAGATGAAGTCTTTATTAGAAGATTCCATCCCTTTCATCTAATGGTGTTTTAAGTGCACTGTCAGTTTCAGTAAAAGACGGGCGCTGTAGCCCTTCACTAGCTTTGTCCCCAGAGAGGGAATCTTGAGATGAAAATGAAGAAATCGGAGCTTTAAGGCAGTAACTTATAAAAATGGCTGTACTAGAAGGAAACTTTAGGAAGATGGTTTTGGGGCTTAGAAAGGAGTTAGGGCAAGCGTATTTTATTTCAAGAGGTTGCGTGCCACCATGGGATATTGCTAGGATATCGTACAAATGTGTTCAATAGGTTAACTTGAAAATTAACAGCGGAGAATGCTTAATGGACCTGCAAATTCCAGAGTAATTAAATACTTCTGTAATATTTTGCTTAAAACTAATGTTGATCCTTACAGGTTTGGAGCAAGTCGCGGAGGTCCTCTTCCTCCAAAGAAATTTGGTAATCCGGGGGAACGTCTACGTAAGAAGAAGTGGGACTTAAATGAGCTGCCCAAGTTTGAGAAGAATTTTTATGTGGAACATCCAGAAGTGGCCAGGCTTACTCCGGTAAATGTTCAGATTTTTGTCTTTTTCATTTTACATACAACAGAAAAACTTCACAGTTGAAAAAACTTGTCCTAGAAAGTTTTGAACTGCATTTAATAGAACTGTCTCTTCACTAAGCTTGTTTAGTATGTATGTATCAGCAGGATACCAGTTCTAGTTGCTGTCAGTATTTACAGTTAGCAAAAGTGATGCTTATTTCTCACATGTTTTTCATACAAGACATTTTATATCTGGTCATTTGCAATTCATCATCTTGCTTTCCTGATTGAGTTATGCAAGATTAAACAGTGTGAATTGTCATATTTCATCAGTGCAGATACAAATTAGAGGACTTCAGGGCTGCAGTACAGGGGAGGCCCTGAAGGAAACTAAAACAATGAGTACATTGAAACAGCGTTAAGTTGTTGGTAGACAGATAGTGGCATGAGTACATGAGAAACGTTAGGAAGTAGTATAGTATCGTAATAATTCAGGTTGAAAGGAACCTCTGGAGGTCTCTAATCTAACCCTGTGCTCAGAGCAGGGCTAACTTCAAAGCTAGAGCAGGTTGCTTAGGGCCTTGTCCATTTGAGTTTGAATCATCTCCAGGCACGGAGAGTCCGTATCCTCTCTGGATGGCTGTCTAAGGGCTTAATGTTACTCATGGTGAGATTTTTTTTTTTTTTTCCTTCCCTAATAACTAACTAGAAATTCAAGATGCTGACTCCATCTTCTCTGTAACCACCCATGAGGTAGTTGAAAATAGCAGTTAGATCCCCCCCTGCTAATCCTCTCTTTCCGAACAAACCCATTTCTCAGCCTTTCCTTGTACAGACTGTACTACAGCCTCTAGCTTCCCCTATAACTGGACGTGCCTTGTTAGTCAATGCCTTTCTTATACTGGGGGCTCAAAACTGGACACAGGACTCTATATTTACTCTGTAGTTACAGTAATGTTCACCTCTTCCATCCCAGCTTCAGTCTACTAGAGAATCTAGACGTACCTTTTTTAACACAAAGCAACTTAAAAAAAAAAAAAAAGAGCCATCCTGTTCTTATCCAATTACATGCATCTAAAACAATCATGTAAAATATTAATGAAGTATTTATACAGTATAAAGGAGTTGAAAGAGACATTTTTTTTTTTAAAGAGACAGCAACCTTTGCTACTGAACTAGAGTTAGCTTAGGTGCTATAGCTGTCTTTGCCTTAGCCAACTGGAATGATTTTAGGATTTTCTCGAAAGTTGTTTTCTTTTTTTACCTTTTCATTCAAAGGCAAGAGATTCTCACAAATGCTAAATGTATTGCTTTGGATGAAGTGCTGGTTCAGTATTGTTTTTTTTTTTTTAATCATTGCAGTAAGGTCATGAACTGTGGAAGCATTTTGCAAAGTGCTATTGGACCCAGAAGATAACCTAGAAAAAGATAAACACTTTTCCTAATCCTAACACTTTTCTTATGTGGATACGCATTTCGGAAATGTTTAAAGAAGTTCTGTTATCAAAAAATTTGTGGGGCCTCAGTATATCATTATGACGTTACTCAGTGGTCTTTCATGCAGAAAAGAAATGCTGTTCCTAAAAGGTTCCAAGCAACAATTCTAAGTTGCTGGTTCTACAGCAAGAACTCTGTTTTTAGTCGCCACTGGACTGTGTTAACAGAAGGAGGAGGACTGTCTTGCCCTCTGCTTGATTGTAGTCTGTTGGGGCCTATTTAATTTATGTAGCTCTTAGCACTGTCACAGAAAGCGTTCCCCCTCCTCCCCCCGTGTGTGTTCTTCTATGTCTATTCAGTTTTGAATGTGTTGATAATTTCTGGCCTCTGAAAGAAGGCCATACATACATAATACATAAATGTTTAATGTTCATACACTTTTGATGAAAGTTAAATGGCTGGAAGAGGAGGGACCATATTAGTCTGTCTAGATTACAAAGAGAGCTCATACCTCTGGATGTGGGAGAGGCTACATGATAGCTCAATCTCCAGATAAAATCCATAGGAAAGCAGTCTTTTTTTTTTTTTTTTTTTTTTAAGCTCTCCTTGTCAATTCAGATCTCTGAAACTAAGCTGTTAGCTAAGTGTGAAATGTGTTGCTAGCACCGTGTGCTTTGGGTTGCTGTTGACCACTTGGCATTTGCCTTTGTATTTTTTCACATGAATAGTATGAAGTCGAAGAACTGAGAAGAAAAAAAGAGATAACAATTCGAGGAATGGAGGGCTGCCCCAAGCCTGTGTTTGCATTCCACCAGTGTAGCTTTCCGCGTAAGTATTTTGCCATTCTTGGTAGGCTTTGCTCTTGAAGAACATGAGGCTTACTCAATAGCAATGACGGTTTAGGCCTGTTTGTTTTCTGAAAAGGTCTTTTGAAGCTGCCTGCAGCCTCAATTGCCATTTAAGAAAATTCTTTTCTTAAAATCTTAGAGTATGTGATGGATGCCTTGATGGATCAGAACTTCACGGAACCCACTCCAATTCAGTGCCAAGGCTTTCCTCTGGCTCTCAGTGGTCGTGATATGGTGGGCATTGCTCAGACTGGCTCTGGGAAGACTCTAGCAGTATGTATTCCTCTTCATTTTATTGTGTTTTGTTTCCAGTTGCTTTGCAGAAATTACCTCTTGGTAGGTTTTGGGCCTGTTGCTACTACAAGAATAAGTGAGATGATTACCTGTTTTTTAAAGCTTTTCTTATCGCATCTTGGGCGAGACCTAAGTCTCAGCTCAACAAGCCTGCCTCATTGACAGGCATGTATTTTGCATAACTTGTTTTTGTGATGCTTAGTCACTTCTCTTTATTTGGTCTTTGCTTATATTATGATTTAAAAACAGTGTGTGTTTTAGCATGTTTATTTTATTAACTATGCAAGTTAAAGTAAAAGACATTTGAGTCTTGCAATTCAAGGTATACATTAATTATCTACAGTGGTCAAGAGGGAATTCTTTCTTCTATGAAAAGCTTAGTAGACCTGAGCAAACTTAGCTCTAGCCAATTTCAACCCCAAATCTAAATGGGCCTTCCTTTCAGAGATGCTGTACAGCTACATTTCCTACTCACATCAGAAGGAGATTTGAATTGATTGCTCAGCAGCTCTGAAAACCATCTTCTCTCCTATTGGATAAATAGGAACGTCTGGTTTTGTAAGGTCCGGGTTTTGTATAGCTGAGGTTTCTTGCTTTCTCTGAAATGTCAGGTCCTGGCTTTTGAAGGGTGTTAGACTAAACGGGTGCTTACTGTGATCCAGTTATCATGGTGAGTGATTGCTGACATTGAATAATGAAGTCCTGTCTCTTGACTTAAAACAGAAGTGTGTGTTTTTTTTTTTTTTTCCCCCCCAATAGTATTTGCTGCCTGCAATTGTTCACATCAACCACCAGCCATATTTGGAAAGAGGGGATGGCCCAATTGTAAGTGCTTTCCATTATCATCTTTTCTGTGTTTGTGACATGGCATTGTTAATGAAATGTGTACTTTATTTAGTTGGTGTATCGGGATAGTAAGTAGAGAACTGTTTACTATCACAATGTCAATACCTCACTGAAATTTTGTGCAACTGTTCATGTAGTCTCAAGATATTTAAATGCTTTAGCTAATAGAGAGCAGATGATCCAGCTTTGCTTATGGTATCTGTGCAGAGCCCTTAAGTTAGGGATGTGTATTCAACTTGGCTCTCCTAAATGGATTCATTTTGCAGTGCCTGGTTCTAGCACCTACTAGAGAGTTGGCCCAGCAAGTGCAGCAGGTGGCTGACGATTATGGCAAATGTTCAAGACTGAAGAGTACCTGCATATATGGAGGAGCACCCAAAGGTCCCCAGATCAGAGATCTAGAAAGAGGTAACTTAGTATAGCTTTTAAAACTGTGATTTACAGTTTGTAGAGGAGGTAGGTTTGCAAGATCTCTGTGAAAGAAAAATATTGTCTTAAAGCCTGTTTGGAGAGGTGCGTGAGGTTGAGTGGCTGACTCCTTCAATTAAAGCAGTAGCATACTTGTGGTAACTTACTTTGTATAAGAACTTATTCAGACTTCCTTTCCCTTTTCTCTTTGAATTTTCATTTGTGAAGATCATCAAGATGTAGAAAGGGGGGAAAAGGAGATTTGTCAGAAACAGAAGAAATTATTTGGAGGAAATGCAGCAGCAGCCAGTTTGAGGAATGATTTTTGTCAGGCCAGATTGCGAATTTTCTGCTGCGAAGTTGTTGAAATAAAACTTGATTCTCTGAAAAAGTTTCTATAAATTCAGAAATTATTTTTTTTCTGAGACTTTGTTTTTGAGGGCTAAGTTCTCTTTCTGGTTCATATACCCCATGATGTCTTGTAATTGTGCTTCCTTACGTAGTTCCTAACTCTAGCGCCTTGCTATAAAGAGCCACAGTACTACAGGAACCATTGTAATGCAGTATTGCGCTAGAGTAACCCCACCTTCATACCTAGGGTTAGTTATATGTAACTTCGAACACCGCGATGTGGTGATATTTTTTAAATTTTTTAGCCTGCTAAAGATTTTAAATAGCATTACATGGAAAGATATAAGACCTTGTTATCAGGGTATGCCTATATACACAGATCTGCTCGAGAAATCAACGTTTTTACTTGCTGCTGCAGTTTGGAGAGTCACTGTTGAAAACTTCAGTAATAGGATAAAGGTATACATAGTAGAAGACTGTAAGATAGCTCTGTTCAAGAAAATGCAACTGCCTTCCAGTACAGAAGCAGCAGCATCTTCTTCAGTGGGGAAGTCAAAGGTTGCATGAAGAGACTTGTGGAAGATCAACTTGGTGCCCTTTTTGGACACCCTTCCAGAGTGCTGTAAAATAGATGTTCTCTCATTTATGAAGAAAACCCTTTGGCTGGAGGATGTGTGCTGAATGCATGCTTTCAGTCCTTTCAGGTGTTACTGTCTTTAGCTGCTTGACGTTGCCTATTCAGGAGTATTTGCAGCAGGAAGAGTCCAGAGATGATGTGTGGTGTTTTTTTTTTTTTTTTTTTTCCTTGGTTGTGATCTTCCAGGAATTTTAGTGAGTTTACTTTGGAGGAATACGTTTTTGACAGTAGTGACTGCAGTTTCTTCAGCCTCTCTGGCAGACCAGTGGCACGATTAGAAATCCAGTTCTTTTGTTAACTTTATAGAAACTAAAAGTATGCCCAGGTTCATCAGCTTTGAGGAATCTAAGCTGACACAGACAAAAGGGTCTGGACTGCCACAAAATACTCCTTATCTGGAAGCAAGGAGAAAGCTGTTGAGGTTTTGTTCTTTTTTTCCCCACCTCATGGCTGCTTTAAATTTACTGTGGGCGTTTCTGTGACGCTGTAAGGTCTTAGTGCAAATCAGTCCCTCCTTTTAAGAACTGTGTAACTTGCTGTACCTGATCCTAGCTTTTGCTAGCATTGCGTATCTGAATTCTGTTTTATACAGTAACAGATCAGGAGAAGATGGACTCATTCTCTCATAATTAGTACATAATTATTCAGTATTAAAGCACACACATTAGCAATCTCTTTAAAAAGTGGAAATAAAAGTACCATGACCTATACAGCAAAAGGAGCACTTCATGTTTGCTGAACAGGCAGAGTTTAGCTGGAGTTCCCTTTTATTTTTTGTGGAGAGCTCACTAGGCCTTATAGTCTTGGAGGAAGGTGGGTCAGGCTTGAGTAGCACCGTAGATTACTTTTGATTCTGGACAGCTTTCTCACTGGTGTTCTCTCGCAGTAAGCTTTCAGCTCCTGTACTACATACATTCATTCTATTGGCACAGCAACAGTAATTTTGGAATGGAAAACAAAATGAATTATTAAAAGAAACTAGGGTTCCTGCTAAAGTAATGACTCAAGCTTGGGTGTGGATGAGGGAGGTAACTTTTATTTACTTATTTTTAAACAGTTTTGCTCTGGAAGGTGATTCATTCTGGGTAAAAATATCAAATGACATTCAAATGAAGAGCCTTACTCTTTTTGCTCGTTGCTTGTTGAAGGTGTGGAGATCTGCATTGCTACACCAGGTCGTTTGATTGACTTCCTTGAGGCGGGAAAGACCAACCTTCGTCGGTGTACGTACCTTGTTCTGGATGAGGCAGACAGGATGTTGGATATGGGATTTGAACCTCAAATTCGTAAAATTGTTGACCAGATAAGGGTGCGTGAGCCTTGTAAAAGCATAGCCTCCTATGGATTTCCATTCAGAGTCCCCTACCTTAAACAAATCCTTTTCCCTTTTTCTTAGCCTGACAGACAGACTCTGATGTGGAGCGCTACCTGGCCAAAAGAAGTGCGCCAGCTTGCCGAGGACTTCCTGCAGGACTATGTTCAGATCAATGTGGGAAATTTGGAACTGAGTGCCAACCACAATATCCTACAGATAGTGGATGTATGCATGGAAAGCGAGAAAGACCATAAGTATGCTAATTTTCTTATTTTTAAGCAAAAAAAAAAATATTACCCATTAAGGAAAATATGAATTTGGATTAGTGAATTTACTTGCACTGTTATTTAACCTTTGAACATTACCAGACAATTAAGCCTTGTAATCATCTAGTTAACTGCATATATTCTAACCATAATGTTGTACAGCAGACTTAAATATTGTACAAATGATACTGGCTTTATTCATGTGGATACTTATTGTATATGTTTTCAATGCAAGTTGAGACAGTACTCCTATATTCTTGTATATGTGGACATACGTCTTAGTTTTCATGTCTATTTTAGACTGATACAGCTGATGGAAGAAATCATGGCAGAGAAAGAAAACAAGACTATCATCTTTGTGGAGACAAAGAGGAGATGTGATGATCTCACTCGAAGGATGCGCAGAGATGGGTGAATAGCTAGCTCCTCTTCCCTTCCCCCCTTTTGTTTCTAGTGGGAAAACAGAAATGGTAATAAAAAGCACTAAGGTTAAATGTTCATGATGCTGTTGTTGGGAAGAACGTGTCCGTTCTTTTCTTTGGCTGAATTCAATCTTAGTTTCCTTAGTTTTCCAGTGTATCAAAGCATTAGTGCAAGACAGTATATTTGTAAACAGTGCAGCTATCTGTATGTCAGAATATACAAAACAGCTGAAGTGCAGAAGTGATAAGGTCTGTATGAATGAAGCAGGTGTGATTTAGTTTAGACACTTCTCACATAGGTAGAGATTTTAACACATACAATGTGTTAAAAATGAAGTGCATAAATGAAAAGCATAAATCTTAGGTAGATAAAGGCCAGAAGAGGAGGGCAGGGAATAAAATATTTTTAAGTATTTATTTTTTGCCTTTTTATGGAAATGCCAATAAAGCTTTTTGTTGCCTTTAATGTGTGTACTTTCAATACTAATGTGCATCTCTGTTTGGCAGTTGGCCAGCTATGTGTATCCATGGAGACAAGAGTCAGCCAGAAAGAGATTGGGTGCTTAATGGTGAGTCCAGCAATGGGGGGGAGACTAACTCAGGCTACTGTACAGAGTTTACTGCAGTGTGCTTTTCTGCAATCTTCTTTTTTTGTCTCTATTCCCAGTACCTTTTTTTTTTTTTTTTATAAAAGCTATGTACACTTCAAAATAACTTCTTTTGCCTTTGTACTGTTCATTTCAGTACTTGTATCTGACTCTTTTCTGACAAAAACGCAATGGGAAGCTCTAAGAACTGATTAACCCAGAGAAACAGATTTTGAAAAATAGTTGGCAGTTTATATGCTGACTTTTTGGGGCTTCTGAAATTGACCTGTCTTATTTAGATTCTGGAAAATGAGCATTTAGTGTAAATCAAGTTCAGATAACTTTATCTCTTTTTTTAAAAAACTGTTGCTTCATAGTGTGCTTTGTCTTACAGAATTTCGTTCTGGAAAGGCTCCCATCCTCATTGCTACCGACGTTGCGTCTCGTGGGCTAGGTTTGTACCCATAGACCACTGTTGCCTACTGCTGCATATTTTTCTTCTTTGGACTGAAATATGTTTTCTTAAAAAAAAAAAAATTCAAAGCGTGATTTTCCCCCACATGTGAAATACGTTTTTTAACATTAATCTTTTTTTTTTCTTTCATATTCAAAGTCTCTTCCTGCTCCTAATGAACAGGCTTTGGTCTGCAGCAAGGCCTAGGCATGACTAATCGATCGCCAAGAGGGAGAAGAGACGTCCAATTATGCAACCCAATCCTTCCACCACACTCACTTCTTCCCCAAATCCGGCTTTTGTTGCTGGATGATAGGGATGGATTGCTCTCAGTTCAGAGGGTGTCAGATAAAGTTGAAATAAGAAGTTGTGGTAGAGCAGTTCAACAGCAAATAGTTAATTATTTTCCCTGTGTGCTACATCACAGATTTGTACATACAGACCCCAGTGTACACGCACGTTTACCCGGCAGATGTATTCACATCTGAGAAAGCACTGCTCCAGATCTTTGGTCTTGACATGTAGCCTTCCCTCCTCTGTGTTCCTTCTAGGCAGGACCACTGAGATTATATAAGGCCTTTTAACATAGTATTACCCAAATGTATGATTGATCAAAATTGCACAGTTTTATTTTGGTGGATGAGAATGATCTGTCTGGATGCATCAGTTGTGCCCCCTTCTTTTAATAAGCATATTTGTATTGTGAAACACTGTGTGCTAAGCACAGTCCTTGCATATCTGCCCACTGTGGAAGATGACTTATAAAGTGCTCCGAGTTTAATAATGAGCATTGACTATACCATGCTGCTCCCTGAGTTTGGTAGAAGCTGCTACTTGGGGCTCAATATGTCATGATGGTAAATTTTAGACAAAACTTTCACAAACCATTGCAAATAAGCTCAGGAAGATCTCTAGTTTATTAAAATTTTTGGTTACATGAGCTCTGTTTTTACATATGCTTGAAAGGGTGGCTGCACTGTGCATCATATGGTCACTTAAATACAGGCAGGCCATTATTAGACTTGGCAGCCTTTGTTCACACAACCTTCGCCCCTCCTTCCCCTCCCCCCTCAAAAAATGTCCAACACTTCCTCAGAGAGGTGATTATATGGACTTCAGTCTCTGCCCTCTAGGGTCATGTCTGGACCTGTGCAGTTAGAACTTGGGCCTGTTGGGAGAAGGGACTGAGGCCTGAAACCAGTTTGTATGAAAGAGCGCTGCTTTCTGTAGCAGCATTTTTTAAACAGGCTTGCTATGTGCTGGTAGCTTCTTTGTGCATCTTGCCTAGACATTTAAAACAGTTTCACCCCCACCAAAAACACTCCCCCAAAACTACTCAATTGGATAACACTTCAGAAAACAGTCTCCCACTTCCCATTCCCCACTTCGCCTGAGCTGTGGGGGAAAGGTACCAGAGTCTGTTTCTTGTTACTGAACAACATCTCTGCTTGTTTTGGGGCCCTGAGTTTGCTGCTTCTTAAAATAAGTCACTTAACTGGCAAACTTCTGGACGACTTCCTCCAAGATCCTGGAAGGTGAAGGCTTCTACCTAAATAACATAAAACAGGGGCGCGCGCCTTTTGGCTGAGTCACCAGGGCTTTCCCTCTTCCTAATGGAACATTGGTTTCAAAAAAGCTTCTTCCAGGTAAGTTCTGAGTCCCATAATGACTTCTTTGTGATAATTCCCTGGAGTGAGGTTTTGTCTCTGCACTGATTTTTTTTTTTATTATTATTATTATTATTATTTATTTTTTTGTTCACTCTATTAAACTAAAAACATTGAATTTCTTTTGTTTTGTTTTCTTTAACAGAAGCTTTGATATCAGCTGCAGATTATTCTCAGTGCAGGGGCGGGGCACATCTACATTGGTGGTTGAAGCAGCTCTCTAGACTAGCATGTTTGCTAGTTTATATCCCTCCTTATTAATTATAGGGTGTTCTGATGGTCTGCCAAAGGGCATGTTTCCCAGGTAGCTGTCAAAAATGATTTACAGTTTCAATTCTTGATCCTGCTACGTTACCTTCTAAAAGCGCAGGAAGATTGTGACTGTGCACAAACACCTGGGAGCATGCTAGACTGGAGAAGCCAAATCTTGTACTTGAGCTGGTCTTTCTTCAGCCAGCTACGTGCTCTACCAGGACCACTTTCTGGTCTGGAAAACACCCATCCATTTTCCTTTTCCTGCCTTTGCATTCTCCCCACTCCTCCCCAATCAAGTCAGTACTGTCTGCATTGGTAGCTGCAATTCCTTGTGCTTTCTGCCAGGAAAGCACGTCCTTGTATCCTCTATGGTAATTCAACTTGCTTTACTACTGATGGATGTGCAAAATGGGACTGTCTAAGGATCATGTAGCCTGCTGCTTGGTCAGGCTAGTTGCACCCTGGCTGTGAAGATGCAATCTGTCATATGTACCCCTCTCTTTATTTCACTTTCCCCTTTTTAAAAAACCTGTTGTACCCAGGACCCTAGCTGGAGACTCGCGCAGCCCCCTGTGAAACCTGCCTTCTCACTCCCTTTTTTTGGTGTGATTCAGGACTTTGGAGTCAGCAAAGACTGAGGAGCCCCCCCCTTTGCTGTAATAAGAAACAGACATAAAGTCCCCCTCTTGCCACTACCACCCTCTTGTTTTTATTTTTCCTACGTCCCCTTTGAAATTGATGCAGTCTGGGCAATAGATGCAGCTGACCCTTTGGATGTAATTTTTGTATTTTCATTTTTTTGACAATTGCCCCAAAGAACCCCGAATAGGGGACAAAAAGCGTTGGAGGACCTGAAACTTTTACCTGAACCCAGGTTCTCCGGCGCTTCACAACCAAATGGGGCTACAGAGAAGCGTCTAAGCCAGTTCACAGAGCGAGCGTGTGTGGGGACTTCTCGCTGCCATGGACCCTTGATGCATGCTCCCCGCGCTCCAGTGGTCCCGTGTCAGAGGGCGGAGTTTTCGAAAGGAGGCCGCCAAAAATAAAAGGCAAAGAGACGGGATCGGCTGCAGCGGTTTCCCACAGGAGGAGGGAGTGTGCATCGGTCTGGTAACAAACAGAGAATGTTTCTCTCTTTAAAAAAAAAAAAATCACAAAAATCTGTGTTTTATCTTGGATATTTTCAGAATATTCTTCTTAAAATGCAGATTTTTTTTTTCATGAGCTGTTAGGGCACTTTCTGTAATACCATGCTTTTTTTAAACATGGCCTATTATAGCAAATAGGTGCTTTTGATACTTTAGATGCTTTCACTGAAGTGTTGCACTAACGTTTACTTTGTTTCAGTCCCAGAAGTTTATGAAGTCTGACTTTCAAGGCATGCGGTTCTGATCTCTTCTAAATTTTAGTATTGTTTTGCAGGCTGAGCAATTTTGAGCATTTAATTTCCTACTTTTGTCTGACATTGGAAGTAGGGAGTTGTTGGTAGAATTTAGGATTGTCCGAAGTACAAAAATTTCCCAGAACTGGACTGAACAGCGTGGTGAAATGTTAGTGCAATGCATTCCTGTGATAACTAGGAAGCCAAGTTAAAGATATTCTAGCTCTGAGCTGAAGAATTTTTAATAAGTTGGCCGAATAATACTACTGTAATTGAAATGTCGTAAGCTTCAGGCTAGGAAAGTAGTTGAATTTTATTAGTATTATAAAAGAAAAGTAAAATTTTAAAAGGCTTGCATTTTATTTAATGTTACGAAGTGGAAGGTAAGTGATCTCATTACTGTTATTATTTGCTAGACTTCTCCCAACAGAGTAAAAGCTCTTACTATGGCAGTTCTATCTTTCCTCCGCCCCAGTTTGCTATGTCTGATGGTGGCATTTTTCACTTCTCAGATTGTGTTTTGAAAAAGAGTACTAAATGCAATTAGCTAATTCATGAACATCATTGTCTTTAACAGATGAAGACAGAGAAATGCATTCCGGGGAGGATGAATTTGAATGCAGGGAAAAACTGCTTTAAAATTGCCACTAGTTTTCAGGACGCTGATCTTTGTACCTGATGATCTTAAATTTCAGTCTTCTACTCTTTTGGGATGAGTCTGTCTTGTATTTATGCCATGCAATTACTAACTTTGTTTTTTTTTCTTATTACTGTCACCTGCATTCGTGCTCCCCACCTTTCGTTGGCACGTCCTCTCTTCTTCTTCCCTTTCCTCAACCCCACCCCTTCACTGTGCTTCGCACCTGGGCACCTCTCAAGATGTGGAAGATGTTAAATTTGTGATAAACTACGACTATCCGAACAGCTCTGAAGATTATGTGCACCGTATTGGCCGTACCGCACGTAGTACCAACAAGGGTACTGCCTACACGTTCTTCACCCCAGGAAACCTGAAACAGGCCCGGGAGCTTATCAAAGTGTTGGAAGAAGCCAATCAAGCCATCAATCCGAAACTGATGCAACTTGTGGACCACAGAGGAGGTGGAGGTGGTGGTGGAGGTAAAGGCACATGGGAGAAGGGCTACACAGGGAATAGGTTTCCCATTTTGAGGGAGGGAGGATTAAAAGAGGATAAGGAAGTGATCTCGGTGATATGCACAAGTCTAAGGTAACAAACAGTAGATTAGTAATAAAGCTTTCTGCAGTTGAGGTCTCAAAACCTTACATAGATGTAGTATTTCTGTCCAACTGAGAGGCAGACCACTGTTTTATCTTAGATGTAAATTTTTTTTTTCTCCTGATCAGCAACTCACGGAGCTGATTTTGCTCGAGCTATTAATTGCTTGCAGCTCCTGCGTGAACACAAGCAAGAGGATGCGTGTGCATGCACGAGCAAAATTGAAGTCCCTGAGGTGATATACTGACTTCAGTTTTAGGGGGTTGAGACTATTTTTCCTCCTGCTTCCCTGAAGGAATAATAAGCTTTGATACACTTTCAAGTTAGTACTGGCTTTTTTCTTTGTTGCTGAGTGTTTGCATTAAGAATATTCTTTGAACTTGATATCTACATCTTGAATAAATGAAGAGAAGAAGCTGTGTAGGGAGCTCATAGCCAGTCAGAAGAATTTGCTCCTTGCGGGCAAAATTGTAGATGCGGTGAATAGGAGGATGAGAGAGGTTAACACAATCATGAGAGTTTGTTGTTTGAGACTTGTTCGTGGTAGTAAATCTTGATGTATCCATCGCCAGGAGGTCGTTCTCGTTACCGTACGAGCAGTTCAGTAAACAACCCTAACCTGATGTACCAGGAAGAGTGTGACAGGAGGCTCCGGGGAGTGAAGGAAGGCCGGAGAGACTCAGGTGGCTTCAGAGACCGTGAGCGTGGTGACAGTTATGCCAACGGAGCCAACAAGACCTATGGCAGTGCCTATGGGAGCCCAAATTCTGCTTTTGGGGCAGCACAAAGTCAGTATGGCTACACTCAAGGGAGCTATGGAGCAGCTGCCTATGGCACGAGTGGCTATGGCACTGCAGAGTACAGTGCTAGTGGCTATGGTGCCAGCACCACAGCTGCCCTCCCCCACCCCCACCCCCTCCCCCCTCACGCAAATGAGACCACTCGCCTGCTGGTGACCAGTGTAGACCTCTTGCATTTAAAGGAACCTTTTCTTTCTCTTTTTTTCCCATTGTGATGTCTCATGCAGGTTAGATTTAGAATTCACCATTCAAATCCCTTAAGCCCATCAAAAATGGCCCCCAGTCCACATTACTGATCCTATCTTTCTGTTTCTTTTTTTTCCTTTTTCTTTTCTTTTTTTTTTTTTAAGAGATATATATAGTTGACTGGAAAATTTATTATTTTTTGTCTTGCATGTTGAGGAAATTGGAAATTTTATTTTCTCTAAAAGAAATGGGTATAAGGCAGATAGGTCCCAGCTCGATCATCTTGGTGTCTAAGGTTTGTGTGAAAACTTGCTTTTGAGGGGAGGAAGTTTCCGTTCTGTAATATGTTAACTTAATTTCAGGAAGTATCAAGAGAGGTGGGAAACTTTGGGGAGCCAAAAAGCACTTCATTTAATATGATAAATGCAAGGGAGCAATGCTCATTTTCCTAATCTTAATTTTTTTTTTTTAATAGCTCACTATTGTTGCTTGTAATCTACCATAGGTGACTTTCTACAGGAAAACTCTCATTTGTCTCGGCTTGGCAGTGTTCTGAGTAATGCCCCGTGTACGTTCTGGTTGGCATTTTCTGCAGCTCTGGAAGCAGCAGCCCCTCTTCTGAAACGACCTCAAAGGCACCTGTAGCAGCCTGCATTAGGAAAGATGGGATTAAAATCCCAGTGTCAGAGACCAAACCTGACTTGACTATGGTATTTGAAAATCAGATGTAGTCACTGTAGGAACTGCTGCTGTAACGTGTAGCCACAGCATCACAAGTGCATGAAGTCTTGAAGTCTGGTTACCCTTAAATTAGTTTCTGCTCTCAGATTACTGTTGTTGGGGTTATTGAGATGATTCTCATTCGAGATCCCAGAAGCTAACCAGAACTGAGATGATGATCAGCCTATCACTTGTCTGTCCTTCATGAACATAGCAACTTTTGCCACGGGGAATGTTCTGAATGCTGCTATGCTGAATAAAATGTGACAGAGTTTTCCACACTTAAATTTAAGAGGTTTGACTAGGATGGGCTGGGGCGGGGGGGAGGGAGGGCAAGGGGAGGAATGGAAGAGGAGGAGATTTGCCTGGAATCCCCTCTTCATGAGGTAAGGAGTGAGCTGGTTAGTGCATCTTGATTCTGAAGCTTTCTTTCTTTTGTACCTTGATCTGACTACTGCTTTTCCTGGCTTTTGAGTGCGTTTCCCCATTCCATTGGTCGCTTTGAGCTCAGCTCTTGCAGGTAGGTAGCATTTTAGAAAACGTTAGAAAAGAGTGAAATTTTAGTAAATACATAAATAAAATTTCTTTATTTTACAGGCTAAGGTGGGTGTGAAGGGTTTTCCCCTTTAGTAAAAGCATGTTGTCGACTTGTGATTTCTTAATAGCAGATGGTTCAGAGACAGTAGATTGTAATAGGAGTTGGCTGCTCTTGATCTAATAATGTGGCAAAAGAATGGATACATCTCCTGGTTTGGGAGGCATAATCCTTGCATTATGAGAGCGCAGATTTTTTTTCTGTTGGTATTCTTGCATATGGTTGAACGAGGCAGCCCACTCCTTCTGTAGCAGAGTGGAACTTCTTATAGCCCAGGAAAAGAGCTTGCTTATGCAGAGGGTTTTTTATTTTTAATTTCTTGCCAGAGTATGATTTTGGGGGATGAATGCATTTGTATGAGACACAGGTAGGTTATTGACAGCATCAGACGGAAAAAAGGGAGAGATCTTCCAGAACCTTGCTTCCTTCATCCCATCTTCAAATTCTAAGGGCTTGGGCAGGAAGTTTATTTGCTTGTGTTAAGTGAAAGCCAGAAACACTTCTTTTATCCAGGCACCGACTGATGTGTCTTTGGCCTCCCTCACAAGCAAGTGTGGAGCTATCTTTTTATTTTATTTTATTTGCAAGTTTAATGCAGAAATGCGTTTGAGGGATGTAGGAGTGGGACATCTTGCTGACTGGTTTTAGAAGGGGTCTCTGGACCACCAAAGCTGCCTTATAGTCTGCTACAGCTTTCACTTCTTTTAGGGGGGACTTGCGCACATGTAAGCCTATATGCCAAGTCTTGCAGTGCTTTATTGTAACTTGAGGTCAGCTGAAGTCCAGGGTCTCATGTCCAGTTCAGTGTTAACTGGATGGAATGCATCAGTGCACCATGGCATGTGCTGCCCCTGTCCCACCTGGTGCTCGCTGCTCTGTTCCATATACCAGCTGAAGGGCCCTTGTGGATAAAGCATTAGCGTCTAGTATTGTTTGCATTGTTTTCAATCTGTGAAAGTTTGTGGGAGTGTCAGATGAGTTGGGTGTCTCCTCCCCTCCCACTTCCTGAAGCAATTTATTGTTTGGACTTCTCTGAACAATGGAAAGGTTAGTGGCTTTGTGTGGGATCAGCATTTTGTTTCACACATTTGCTGGTCTCTGAACACATTCCTGTTGTATTAATGAAGACTTGAATTGAGCGATTGATAGATCTGTGGTGTTCAGACACAGGATACTAAGAGCTATGTTACTATTCTTAGTTTGTAAATTGTCCTTTTGATACCATCTTGTTTTCTTTTGTAGGTATAAATAAAAACACTGTTGTCAATACATTGTGAACTTTGTCTTTATTTTTTGGAGCGTAAAATAGTCTTCACCCCATTTTTCCCAGTTCTTATAAAAAAAATCAAGTTGAAGAAGTTGGAAACGTCTATTGGCAACATACTGAATGTTAATAAAAATGTTCCACATCAGTAGAACATTAGGAAGGAACCATCACTGAAAGAAAACAAGTGATGAGATTTTTGAGAATCTGTAGAATTGGAAGATTCTTGTCATTTGAAGGGAATGTATTTTTCCTGAATGTTAAGGGACATGAATGGAATGGGGATAAGACAGAGTTAAGTTGCAGCTGGATACTAGTTCATAGACGGGTACGGTAATAGTTTGTAGTGTCTACCACATCGTTAGTGGCCTTTATATATTAGCAAACTCGATAATACCATGTTCTCTTTACCATAGGCAGTTTTTAAGACTGAAGGACTAAATGGATAGTGACAACTTCCCTTCTACTCCTTGTGATGCCTCAGGGCCAAGGTAGGGGCGTGTTTTGGAGGTGGGTGCTGCAGAGGGAGAGGGAGATAATAGTTTGCGCTACTGCAGTATTGGCCAGCACTATTTACTAGCACCAGATTCAAGTAAGGAAAAAAAGGGATGGGAAACTGAGGCAAAGTGCCATACAGGTCAAAAGCATACCAGCTTTCCAAGCCTCATTGTCTTCCGGGCAGGGAACTGAAACTCAGCTGAGCCATTCATTTGGTCAACAAGGGGCAGGAAAGGAAAGCTGTGATCTCAGAGCTTCATCTTCAGGAGTTTCTTGTATTTGTGGAAACATCTTCAAACAGGCATTGGAAGACTTAGCTTTTTTCCTTTTAGGACTGCGCAAAGAAAAAGAGAACATAATAATGGAACTTTGGAGAATTAAACTGTTTCATTGTTTCAGCAAATACTTGTTTTGAGATGGCTACTTAGAGTGCTAGATAGTGGATTGTCGGGCTTGCAAAGGACAGAGAAATTACAGATATCAAATGGAGCATTCTCAAGCATCTTCTATGTGATGTTAGTTCCCTATTTACTGAAATAGGAGTAAAGCAGTGTTGTCTTCAGATAACAAATTGCTTGTCCGCAGTTATTACTGCATGCTAACAGCTCCAGAAAATCCTGCTTCTTCGCTGTGGAAGTAGTATCTAGAAGAATTTAGTGAGAATGGTAAAATTAAAGAGCCGTGAGAAGAGAAACATTGATATTTGATGCCCTGACAGGAGACAACCCCTACAACATTGCTTCTAGGGTTGGGAGACTCCAAAATTTACTTACAATTCTCCTTTATGCTAAAGGAGAAAGTAACCTGAAGTACTTAATGATTTGTCTTCCGTAGTTGCTCTTGCTCATGTATGGGTTTAATTACCCCAGTTGTTGCTCGATGATGTAATAATATGGGGTCTGCTGTTGCCCCTTGGCAATGGGAGAGCAACCTCAGAGGCTGTTACACAAATGGCCTATGGCCATGCTGAGCATGCACAATCTCATCTGATCTTGGAAGCCAAGCAGGGTGGGCCTGGTTCATATGGGAGTGGGAGGCTGCTTGGGTAGGTGGGGATCAGCAGCACAAAGGCCAGCTCGAGGCCATTCACTAGTGGTGTCCCACAGGGGGCAGAGTTGGGGCCCACAGTGTTTTAACATCATGAATGACCTGGACAGAGGGTACCTCAGCAAAATTATGGACCATGTGAAACAGGGAGGAGTGGTTGATAGCACCCGATGGTTGTGCTGCCTTTCAGAGGGACCTTGACGGGCTGGAGAAATGGGCAGAGAGGAACCTCATGAACTTCAGCAAAGGGAAATGCAAAGTCCTGTAACTGGGGAGGAATAACCCCAGGCACCAGTACACGTTGGGGGTCAACTGACTGGAGAGCAGCTTGGCAGAGAAGGACCTGGGGGTCCTGATGGGAATTACAGAATCACAGAATGGTTTAAGTTGGAAGGGACCTTGGGAGATGATCTAGTCCAACCTCCCTGCTCAAGCAGGGTCCTCTAGAACATATTGCCCAGGATCCCATCCAGGTGGGTTTTGAATATCTCCAGCGAAGGAGACTCCACTACCTCTCTGGGCAACCTATTCCAATGCTCTGTCACCCTCACAGTGAAGAAGTTTTTCCTCATGTTCAGACGGAACTTCCTGTGGTTCAGTTTCTGCCCATTGCCTCTTGTCCAGTTGCTGGGCACCACGGAGAAGAGTCTGGCCCCATCCTCTTGACACCCCCCCCCTTCAGATACTTGTACACCCTGATGAGATCCCCTCTCAGTCTTCTCTTCTCTGGGCTACACAGGCCCAGCTCTCTCAGCCTTTCTTCAGAGGAGAGACGCTCCAGTCCCCTCATCATCTTTGTAGCCCTCCGCTGCATTCTCTCCAGGAGTGCCGTGTCTCTCTTGTACTGGGGAGCCCAGAACTGGACAGAGTACTCCAGACGTGGCCTCACCAGGGCTGAGTAGAGGTGGAGGATCACCTCCCTCGACCTGCTGGCAACACTCTTGGTAATGGCCCCCAGGATACCATTGGCCCTCCTGGCCACAAGGGCACGTTGGTGGCTCGTGCTTAACTTGTTGTCCACCAGGACTCCCAAGTTGAACGTGAGCCAGAAAAGTGCTTTTGCAGCAGAGGAGACCAAAAAGCCTCCTGGGCTGCATTAGGAAGAAGAGAATTGGCAGCAGGTTGAAGGAGGTGATCCTTCCCTTCAGCCCTGGTGAGGCCACATCTGGAGTACTGTGTCCAGTTGTGAGCTCTGAGACAGGGACATACTGGGGTGAGTCCAGTGAAGGACCACAAAGACGATTAAAGGCTTGGAGCATCTGTCGTGCCAGGAGACGTTGAGAGAGCTGGGACTGTTGAGCCTGGAGAGGAGAAAGCTCAGGGAACCATAGCAATGTGTATAAATACTTGATGGGGGGCGTACAGGAGATGGAGCGAGGCTCCTCTCGGTGGCACCTAGTGACAAGGTGAGGCAATGGGTGCAGATTGAAATACAGGAAATACCATCCAAACATAACTTTTTTTACTGGGAGGGTGGTCAACCAGTCTCCGTCCTTAGAAATATTCAAAACCCAACTGGACGTGGCCCTGAGCAGAGAGGTTGGATTAGACAATCTGCAGTGGTGCCTTCCAACCTCAACAATTGTGTGAAATACAAGCTTTTGGAGGCTGAAAACTTCCACAGAATATGTTGCAGGCCCTTGTTGTGTTAAACTGAAAGCAGCTCAGCTAGTTTTGAAAACAAGATTAAGAGAAGCTGCATTATATAAAAATCCCTTTACAATGCGTTGGTATAGATTCTGAAGTCTTATCACGTGGATTTACTTGCGTAATATATTTTGCTTTTCTTATGAGAATCACTGGCATTTTGTCTGAGCTCTTTTCTATGTGACCAATGCTATTGAAAAGCTGAAATTTTTGCAAGAGTGGAAGATGGATGGAACCTGCTAAAATATTGCTGGTTTTCATAAAGATTGCAGAACGTTTGCGTATCTTCAGTCCTCCCTTTTTCCTATGGTCCAGAACGTTTGTGGAAAAGAAAAAAATGTAATTCTCTTCCTGCTGTGATGTCCCAGGGACAGATGTTTTTTTCTTCTGCCTCCTGCATCATCTACATTTTGTGGTCTTACTAGTGATGCGAGACTGAAAGCCAGCAGTTGTTTTTTTTCCCTTTTGTTCCATTCTGCATAGGTGCAAGGGGTGTGGAATTTTAACAAAGTATAGAAGGGCACAGGACACATGAATCGAGTGAACCTGAAATAGGAATTAGTGAAAAAAAGGAATTGATGTGGAGCACCATGATGACAGAGTAATTACAGAGTAATTTTCTGGCTACAGACGTGTTTTTGTGACAGAAGGAAGACTTAATCCATAAAGGCCAGCCACCTGCTCAGTGCTCCTGTCATCTTTCTATCAGCAGGTATATTGTATGAAGCTGCTAAATATCCATCTATCTAAACATCTAACACATGCTATCACTGCTAGGCAGGCTAGTTGAAGAACACAAAGGAGGGAGAAAGCGTTCACTCAGCTAGATTTCGTCAAATTCCATCCTACTAAAACATAAAAGCATTTTAAAGCATACTTTAGCTTAAACAAACCTAGCATGTTCTATATAATTTTAAGCCCTTGATGAGCTTGTTAGGTCTGTGAGCACTGGTACTTAGCCATTTACCAAAACACAGCACTGAAGAGGAAGGGGCATCTTGTTTTGGAAAACGGAAAGGAGTGTCTTGTACATGCAAATGCCTTTCTGTCTTCCTACAGAATCAGTTCTTGAGAGTGTTACATCTTTTCCACCAAAAGAAAAAGTAGTCTTAAAATCTCCGTATGTCTGTAGTTGCTTACTCAGGTATGTTGTCTGCCTCCTGCTATTTTCTTCTTCCTTCTAAGGTTTTTTCCATGCTTTATAATGTTTCAAATGTACATGGAAATGATTATACCTAAACCGTGAACTTCCTGGGGTGGGGTTAAACCAGACTTATTTCTGATTAAATTTCTGCTTTGTTTCACATGCGTGTCTAGAGCCTTGTGAACAGAGATACCCATTTGTGTTCATCAGATGTGTTTTTAAAATGGATTTTAGGTGGATAATATACATCAAAAATGTAGTGCAGGATCAGTAAAGTCATTTAAGGATTGACCAATGGCAAGCTGCAGCTCCACCATGCTTTGTGAGAATGCTGAATGCATGGGGTGGACTTTGAACCTACTTCTTTACCTACCTTTGGTAACGTAGAGATAGAAGAAATCACAGTAGAAGATGGTTTGTACCACCCCAGAAACCACTGCAATCTGGTCATAGAATTTCTCTGTGTGGTAGCGCCAGATCCAGTTGGCAATGTAGAGAGCACGGTAGAGGCCCAGGAAGAAAAGGTAGTGTGTTGTGATGGTCTCCGCTTCTCCCGTCTTACTGATCATAAAGAGCTGAGGAAGGATAGCCACTGACTCCAGGTAGATGGAGAAGGTCCAGAGTATCTGTGAGATGAAAAATGAGACAGTGGAGGCTCTTGATGCTGGTTAATCTGCAGTAGGGCCCAAAGCTTTAATTTAGCAATCGGAGCACTGATATGCAAAGCAGAACAAACAGTGCTTTTGGAGTTATAGAAAATGAGCCTGCTTTGTCAGGACTGAGAGAAGACAGTGCTGAGCCACTCTCTATGTAGTATATTCTTCAAGGACTGCTAACCTGACCTTTTCTACATGGTTTTACTGTTAAAAATCTTAACTAGTCAATGTCCTGCTAACTTTGCGGAATAATACCAGACGGCTGTTTACCCTCCCCTTTCATGTTTTCCTTACCTCCAAAGGTGTAAAGCTGTGATTCTCCAGAAACGACAAGCCTGTGACAGGGACCAAGAGGAATTCAAGGCGAAAGGAGTCATTCTCACTGTCAAATGTTTTCCGGAATTTCACGTAGATCATGTACACAGTGATGTAGGCACATATCAAGAAAATGACCTGGGGGAGGGAAGGAAGAGGGCAAGATGTTACCTTTGATTACATCTTCTGTTCTTAAAGAGAGTCTTGACATAGAATAGCTTTGCCAAAGTCAAAATCTGTTAACTTGGTTCTGGTGGGCCTGTGGCAGGGTGAGATAGGCGTGAACTCTTGCTCTGCGCTGGCTTGCAGAAGGCCCCGGATTGCTTTCCCTCCCTACTGCCGCTAGAGATATGCCAGTGGTTAAGTTAACTAAAGATTACCATTCTGTCCTGCCATGAGGATCACGCTTGTTTGAGCTCTTTGAAGCACTATGTGAAGAGGTTGGCTTGGTGGCAGCCAACTGTTAATGCTTTTGCTGTGGAAGGACACCCAAGCTTGATTCAGGATCTTGCTCCTGGTCTTGGTGGTACTAACAGTGTGGTGGGGTCAGCTTGCTTATTTACCACAGTGAAGGGATTTTCTGCTGCCTGCGCTTCTTGTCAGTGGAGGGACGGTGACCCCAAAGGAAGTGTCTTTCTCTGACTTGCCTGTGTACAGCCTGCTGTGGCTTTGGTGGCCTCGTGAGAAGCGTGGGAGATAGGTGAGGAAGATGCAAGTGCTCCTTCCTCCCCCTGGCCAGAAAACTGACTTAGTGGATGTTTACCCTCACCTTCCCTGAGGAACCATGATGAGCTGCTTGCACTAGAACTTCTCCCTCTCCTTACCTTCATCACGGTGTTATAGAGAGATATGAAGGTTGTGAACAGGTCCAGATAGCGGGTTGTGAAGACAAGGGCAAAAAGAATCTGACTTTTCCCAGAGATACCTGCAGCACAGGGAGAAGAAAGCAAGGAAAGGTAGATGAGGGGAAAAAGCTTTAGGATGGCAGGTTTTCCCTTGCATCTTCTTTGAAAACTGTTGTATACGTGCATATTTCTTTGTGCGAAAGGGAACATTTCTAAGTTATTATGCGAGATGGACTCTTTCGGGCATTTTTTTTTTTTTTGAGAGGAGAATTGATATTTCCAGGGGTGGATGATCAAGGTAGGATTCCCCTTTCTACTGCCAGAGGTGTTTGGTAAACCACAGTACACTCAGGAACTCACTGGATGTGGATAGTGAGTGCCTATTGCACTGGCATTGGGCCTGGCTGAAGTTTTGCCCTACCAACCCTTGTGACCAGTGTTCACCTGAGCCAGATCTGTCTTTGTAACCAGTTATCTGGGCCAGGACAAGTAATGATGTAAGTATGCACCTGTTGGGGCTAGATGGAAGTCAGGGGGGTGCCAGAGCGCACAGGCCAGGTTAACTGGGGAAGTTGCTGCAATGGAGTTACCATGTGCATTTGTGACCTTAATAAAGGAACACTGGTGACATCAAGAACAGTTCAAGTGGGAGCCCTGGTAACTCTAGACCCACCTCTGGACCAGGCCAGAGTCTCCTTAAGTGGTAGGGCAAACTCCTTCCGATGCCCCTGGGCCCTGCTTTGAACTGTCCGGAACGGCTCTTGGTTGGCAGGTTCACTTCTTTGGCCAGTTCAGTCCTTATTGTCATGAAAATGCCTTTCTTTTCCCTTCCTTGCCCCTTTCACACGCCTGCCTGCCTACCTTGTCGTGGGTTTATGTGATGTGGCATCTGCCACATTAGGGAAAAGCTGAGGGATCAGGGAGCAGCCCACGGATGCTGATGGTGCTTAGTCACCACTGGCTGGGCCTCCAGCGTGAGAAGCAGTGTGGAGAGGGTGGCGAAATGGAGTAAAATCATGAAAGAGTTTTTCTACCTGTGATAACTGTTGCGGCACAGCAACCCAGCCTTGAAGTCCCTTAGGAGAGTAATCTGTGAACTCCGAACAAAATACTCCTTTGGGAAGCAACTGCTCCAACTTCCTCGCGCAGGCCCGCTCAGCAGGGCCTGGGGGAGGCTCTGGTACCTGCCTGCAGGCTTGCAGGGCCTCCTGCCTAAAGCAGCGCCTACGTGAGCTGGGAAATCTTGTCCAGTTCATCTCCTCTCATCGCTGAGTAATGCTAGACACATGGCTTCAACTAGGGGGGATTCGCCAAGGCTCTGTGAAGATAAGCCTTCTCCCCTCCTCAGCTGCTGATCTGGGGATGGTGCAGTCCTTTTGGATGTCCGAGTGGAAAGTGCAGAGCATTACTATATATTTGCCATTTCATGCGGCCAGCTGGCAGCCTAGGAGCATGTGGGATAGCTGTGCGCAGAGCTCTCCCTGAGGAGTTTTGCTGCCCTTAGCAAAGGTGCCTCCATTGCTTTCTCTCTGTGTTTCTTTTGCCGGAGGTTGCTGGTTTTGGTACAGCCACAACTTCTCGTGCTTGTTTTCCACCTCCCTCCAGCTGTGTTACCCACCCCGTCGTTTCCTCACCCCAAGACAAACACCTGCGCCGAGGCTGCGTGCTTTGCCAAATCACATCCTTTCAACGCATCCATCTCCCTCCTGGCGGGGGAAATCACCCTGGGCTGGCATGCATTTGCTGGCAACTTCTACAAAGGCCCCCAAACTCGACAAAAAATTAAGACGTATCAGCAAGGAGAAGAGAGAGAAAGATGGACAAGAAGACGAGCAGGATCTAGGATCGAAAGCAAGGAGAAGGAAGCTTAATTATCTCCAAGGACCCAGGCCAGGAGGGATGACAGCTTGCACAGGCTATCGCTAGCCTGAGCAGGCCTGATTTCACCTCCTTCTGCCCAGACACCTCATCTCCATGGCCTTCTCCCTCGGACCCCTCACACAGTTGCCTTCCGAGAAGGGACCCCTCCTTCCCCAGCGAGCAAAGAAAAGGATGTGGAAGCGGGTGGAGAAAACTCACCGGCGCAGGACTTAGACTTCTGGATCTTAAGCAGCAGGATGATAATAGCCAGCAAGTGGGAGACATCTCCCAGGATCCGGAAGACGTTCATTGCTACGTGGGCTCCTCAGAGGCAAAGCAAGCAGGGTGTTGGCACAGGTGGACGGGAGTAGGGCAGCCTCCAGGGCTTCCCCAAAAGGTTGCTACTGAGTAAAACTCGGCAGTGAGTTTTTCCCCTAGCCTTGATCAAGTAGCTGCTCTCTTCCAAGTGAACTTTCTTTTTAATCTGTGTATGGAGTCCTTTCTTCTGGCGGAGGAAAATTCAGACTCCCTCCATTAAAAAATACCCGTTCTCCCTGCACGACTTTCCCTTCCAGGGTGAACTTCCTCCCTTGCTTTAAATTTACCTCAAGGTAGATTTTTTTCTCCACCAGAACCAGTTTGCCCCCGAGGGTTTTCTCTGCCTGCAGTGCCAGCTCTCCCCCCTCCAGGCTGATCTCCCAAAGTTGGGTTTTATCCCCAAGAAGGACCCAGACTAAGTCTGCTCAGCAATCCCAAAGCCAGCACTGGGTGACGTGGCTCCTGGCTGTCCGGGGAGGAGAGAAAGGAGGAGGAGGCGGGAATAACTGCGCTATTTTTCCTTTTTCTTTTTTTTTCCCCCCTTCCTCTTTTTTCCCCTACTTGTCTCAAATTACACACGGAAGTGTCCTTAAAGGGGGAAAGGCAAACGGAAATGATTATCCATCGTCTGGGGCTGGGGTAGGGGTCAGGACTCAGTCCTCTGAGTGTCAGGCTTTCGAGGGACGCCGATGGTCCCTTTGGACACATTAATCCCCGTTTTGCTCCGAGCTGGCCAGGCTTGTGCTCTGCAGCCTGCTTTCTAGGGCTTTGCACAGCCCCGTGTTCATTCTAGCACTTTCTGGGCAGTGATCCTTCAGCCTAACAGAAATTGCTATTAGGAAAAACTACCTGGCATTCCCCCAGAGCTCCCCTCCCCTCCGCTCCGCTCCGTCTCGTAGATCGAAGGAAGGGGGTGGGAAGAGATTCGATTTGAATGTCTTGGGCTTGCGTGATTTTCTCTTGCGACCGTGCCTCCAGCCCTCTTGGGTCTGCCTGGACCCGGCAGAGGGTTGTCGCCTCTCCCTCCCTCGAGTGCCAAAACACTGCAGCCCTCCCCTGCTCTGTGCCGTCATCCCTGCTGCCCCAGGGACCTTCATCTACCTGAATGTTTTAGGGCACTTCCTGGCTTCTTTGCTGGCTTCTTCCTGGGGGCTGG